TCCTTAAGACAGCCTTTGACATCACTGGCAATGATATGTGGCTCAACATATCATACTGTCAGTTTGAAATTGCAAAACTTCCAATAAAACTACGCTCATAATGGGAGAATAATAAAATGAAAACAGCTGGTTAAAAGAAAATCGCCAAATTCTTGTTACGGTCGTTTCTCTTAGGCTAAAGGTGCGCATGAGGCGCAAAAAGGCCAATCCAGCACCGCCGGACAGCCGCAGTGGCTGCAAAAGTTGCCCCCAGCAAGGCGCTGACCGCACTTGGTGCACACCAGGGGTGGAACCGCCACGCCATCTCTCGCAACGCCTGGGCATTTCTGCACGGGGCGCAGAACCACGTTAGGCTCCGGCAGGAAAAAATACGAAAACTCCTCCGGCCCAGACGCTTTTTTCTCCAAAACTCGCCCCTTTGCATCGGTTCGAGGGGGCTTCTCTGGCAAAGTGGGCGCAGGGTGAACCTCCACGGGAGGTTTCTTCTGAAGCAGTCCGCCCCAGTTCAAAGCCAGCTGGATGTCTGGGAACTGAGAGTGTGGAATGAAGGAAGGCTCAGCGTCTTCCAGAGCCACAACGATCGTCACCGTGTCGCCCTTTTGCTCCCCCAGGGAGAAATCCGCCTCTTTATCTGTAGAGGGCGGTAGCCCCAAGTCAAGTTCTTCCTCCCGCTTGGAGGGTTTCGACGTGAAGTTCGCGGCCTTGCAGGGCCTCTTCTGAAGCTCCCCCAGGCCTCCAAAGGACTTGCTGCCCTCTTCGCCACTCACCAGGTTACTCTTTACAGACGCCGTTTCCGCCTGGCAGCTTCGCTTTGCGATGGGGGTGCGGCCCTTTGCCGCCCCTACAACAACAACTGGAACCGCGCTTGGAGGCGCTGCTGCGCTTCTTGCATCTCGGCCGTTTGCTACTGAACAGACGCGCCAATGAGCGCAAAACCCAGAGGGAAGAGAGGGAACTCACCTTTGACTATGTGAATGCTGCCGCCCACCTCCTCCCTCCTCAAAGGGCGGCCCTGGATAAAAACCTGCCCGGCAGGATTGAAGAACTCGGGGTGTCTTTGGAAGTAGTCGCTCAGTGGGGGCGGCAGGAAGTGCGCGCTGGTGTCGCGGAAATAGTAGTTGGGGAACACAAAAGGCACTGGGGGCGGGTACGGGTGGTAGTAGTGGTTGTAGCCGAGGGGCGGCGGCGGGTAGAACACCTCATGGCCGCCTAGAAGCGCCAGGTTAATGCGACATGGGCTCTGATGCTTTGACTTACCGGGAAAATATCTGGCGTGTGGGGGTATGCGCATGATGTGGCTGCTGGGGTGGCCCTCATCCCCTCCAAACCGCACCACGACCTGCGCGTTGGCCACATTGGGGCCGCTCTGCTGGGGGGGCGTGGTCGCCGGCGGCTTAGTGGTCGAAGTGTCAAAGCGGTCGAAGTCGCTCCTTTCCACCAGCTCCAGGTGGTCGAAGTTGATCTTCGACATGTCCTTGGGGGTGCGGAAAATCCTCTCCAAGTTGATGCATTCTGTTGAGATGCGCTGAAACCAGAAAAACCCATATGGCATCACTGCCGGCCACTAAAAGCTGCAGTCGATTACTTGGAAAATTGCACACAAAGCGCAGCTGAATAGCAACATCAACTTCATTGCTGAGCTGTGGGTTTACTGAGCCGATCGCTGACCGCAGCTGATCATTTATAGAAACCCTGTCAGGGAAATGAACACCAAAAGCGCACGCAGTGGAGGTTGCCAGGGAGCAAACGCCTCTCGACCATGACTGGCAATGTTTTGGAGTTTTCCAAAGCAAATATTCACACGTTCGCAGCAGGCTGGGGGCGTCAACCTGAGCCCGCACCATTTTGACAGCTGCCAGTTTCAGGCCAGCCCCTTTGACAAGTTGACACAGCCCAAGTGACAGCCACTGTCAAATAGAGCCCGAGCAAAACCATGTTAATCTGTCAAATCAACTCAATAAAAACCAAGTCAAGTTCAATAGCAGCAGAAAGCGCTGATTCAACGGTTCCTTGACTTAATTAGTTGATAAATAAAAGCAGGTTTCAATGCGAAAACAAATCGACTTTATTGCATCGGCTCTTTAAACGACATTTCACTGCAGTCAACTGGTTTTTCCCGGAGCGGCTAATTGTAGCCCCCTTGGAATACATTGTTGCCGGATTTCAGCGGATTTGAGGCGTTATTATAGAAAGAGAGAGAGATAAAATGAGAAAGATATTATTATATATTTACCGAGTTATTTAAGATTTCGATAAAATAAATTATTTCCGATTTAAAATGTCTACCAAAAATCAGTTTAAGATTTCTAATGTTGAAAGAATAAAAAAAAAATTAWCCAAAATAATATACATTATAGTTTGAATAAATTTTACTTAAATAAAATCATGGTAACAATATGCGCAACGATATAAACAAACAATATTAAATTTAATTAACCATTCTAATGTTAACTTAGCAGCAGTCTTTTAATGAAATTAAAATTTTCAGACCGTAAAGTTTGCACTGAAGTTCTTATTTCGTTAGAAATATTAAAAATTCTTTCCTAAAGTTCTTCGATTGTATTCACTTCTGGTGAATATACCGTACTTTTTAAATGGTCCCAGAAGTAAAAATCAAGCGCGTTTAAATCGGGAGATCTAGGAGGGGAGTTTATAGGAGCTTCTTGACCTCTAGCAATCCAACGGCCTGGAAAGTTTTGATTAAACCGAAACGATATAATTTTTTTGCGTGCAAACTAGTGCCCTTAAGAAAAAACAATAAGAGATAAAAATTGATAAATAACTTGTAGTAATTAAAAAAAATATGTTGATAAAAGTTTAAGTGCACACAAAAAAGTTATGAACAAGACAAAAGTAGGAGTTCCACATTTCTACCCTGTATAAAAGTAAACTGAACTGCAAAACACTACCATAGAATGACCTTCAATTATCTTATAATGTGTACCAAAATTTAAGTTCCCAATGTTTAACCGTTTTAAAGAAAAACAACAAAAACTAATATTTTTCGCCATTTTGGAGATCTCAAAAATGAGACCTCAAATTAAAAAAGTTCTCAGGAAGACCCCCCTCGAAAATGACTAGGAGAACACGCTGCTAAAATATTTTAACATATTTACGGAACACCCTGTATAAATAACAATTATAAAGAAAATCAAACACAATTTTAGTTTAATCACTGGGGTACCATGATTTGTACGATAATGTTTATTGAGATTTCCCTGTGTTGAAAAGCTTTTTTGACAAATACTGCAAACATTGGAAATAGACATAACCAATGATATAAAAGTTATTATTTGTACGTTATTACGACAGATCACTGATACTACTTCGACACATTCAAGTCAAAACGTGGTCAGACATAAAGCAACACGCTTCACTTTCCACTTTTAACAGTTCTAACCTCACCTTTTTAAGATTTGACACTTGACACGATACCTGACATAGCATTAAATACTGGCAACGTTGTATTCCAAGGGGGCTACAATTAGCCGCATCTGTTTTTCCCCCCTGATAACCTTCTTGACTGGACAAAGTTTGACAGTTCCAATGACATAAGCTCCGCCCCCACGCGATGGAGGCACAAGCAGTGACCAGTGGCGCCCTCTGCCAGTAGAGTCACAGACAACTAAATAAAGGGTGTTTGACAATAGGCTGGCTTCCGTCAGCGCCTGCTAGAACTAGCTGGGCTTCAGCTTGGCTTTGGCCCTCTGCAGCGCCTCCTCATGGCGCCTGCGAATTTGCGCCACCATGTCCTTCACGTCCCTCTTAGGCGGGGTCTTCTTGTGCTCCCTGGCGCTGCCCAGCAGCCCGCCCAACTCCCCCTCGCACTCCTCGAAGCGCCTCTGCAGATCGAAGAGGATGCGCAGCTCCTTCCTGATCCTGTAGCTGCGCCCCAGCTTCTTGCTCAGCTCCTTCACCGTCTGTTTGAGGAGTTTTTCCAAGTTGCCCATCTCCCACAGCAGTTTGGCTGCTTGGTCGAACTTCTCCTGCTCCTGATCGGCCTTCACCAGCAGCTTCTTCAGCCCGCGGAGCGTCTCCATGTGGACCTGCACTTCCTGGTCGCGATCCTGTCCCAGTTTCTCCACCAGGTCGCTTCTGGACTTGGAGTAGACGAACTTCAGTTCAACCAGAGTGTCCACGTACTTCACCTCCTTTTTCTCGTTGAAGGGCGTTCGGGTCTTCAGGTGCTGCTCGCAGTCCTCCACCACGCTGCTGACCACGCACTGGAGCTTCTGCAGTCGCACCAAGCTATGGATGAGCTGCTTGCGCACGAACTCGTTGTCAGTCTTCTTGAGGGTGGCCGCAATGCTCCTCACGCTCTCGTTCTTGAGATGCTGCAGCTCTTTGAGCTTGCTCAGAATCTCCAGCTTGGCCGCCATGTCCTCCAGCTTGTTGTCCATGATGAGGCGCTTCCACTCCTGCTCGATGGAGGTTTTCACCTGCTGCAGCCTGATCAGCAGCTCGAACAGTTGATCGTAGTTCTCCGGGTCCAGCTGGACCAGCTGGTCCACTTCCTCCAGCAGGGCGGAGATGCGCTCTTTCACCACCTGCGTGGGAGGCAGCAGGTCGTTGCGTCCACTCCCTACCACCTCCGGGTCCTGGCGGGCCCGCACCAGCAACGAGGCGATCCGACTGGTCGTTTCCTCAGCTGAGGCGTCCCCTGGGCGGGGCCGAAAGCGCGAAGGCCCGCCCCTCCGGGAGTTCAGCCTCAGAGGGCGCTTCAGGCCGTCGTACTCCATAAAGGGCAGTCCGCGGTTGTCTATAATGAGCCTCGGCTGCAGCTTGGTGAGCTTCACCTGCGGCCGCGAGCCCTCATTGGCCAGCAGCTCCCCCACCTTGTCATAGCAGTCCTGCAAGGGGCGCAGAAAGCTGAACTGGTGGTCCATTTTCGCGGCCAAATAATCCTCCACCTCCTGCTGGATGTCGTCTTCGTTCACCACCTTGAGGACATACCGTTTCTCCCTCAGGTGTTCCGGTGGGGCCTCCCGCCGATATCGGCCGCTTAGGTGGTCCAGCACTTGGACGTGGTCAAAGTCCCCGATGACGTTGCTGGCCAGATTCAGGCAGTGTTTGTGGAGGTTTTGGCCCAAGTCTTTGAAGCACCGCTTGGCGGTGTGCACCACCTTGGGGAGAGCTGTCAAAGGAGTGCCGCCCCTCCTGAAATGGTCGAGAAACTGCATGGGGGCGGTGAGGAGTAGGTAGAACGGGTTGTGGGGCACCCCCAGGCCCACCCTCTTCATCCGCTGCTCCCGGTCCAGCTTCTTCTGGTGGGCTTCCAACTCTTGCCGCACCACAGTATGGATGGCGCTCCTGCCCAGCATCGAGTCAGCGGGCGGAAATAGGCGCCGCCCTGGATAGGGGCGCGGAAATCCCCCTACCATCGGGGCTGGCGCCTCTTGGTAGTCGTCGTCTTGCTCGGACTCCTCGGAGTTGATATCGACCTTGTAGTGGGCAGGCAGGTCCAGTTCGTCGCTGCCCACCACTATGGTGCGCTTGGGGCGCCGCTGCGCCCGAGGCGGCTGCAGCAGGTGCTTCAGAAAGGCAGTGGCTTGCCCTTCCAGGTCTTTGCTGGTCGGGTTGTGGTTCAGACGCTGCAGTTTCTGCAGCAAGCTGGCCTCAGTGGCGCCCCTTTGCCCCAACCTGGATCGAGGGGCTGTGGGCCGCCAGAATCGGCTAGAGGTGGGCGGGGCTCTGTTCCGATAGATCGTGTCGGCTAGCCAATTGCTGCGCAGCTGGCGCTTGCTCCGCCCCTTGTTGCCCAGTTGACAACAGGAACGTGTGCAGGCCTGCCTAGATGGGGCTGCGCCTGCAGGAATGAACAAGAGTGGGTTCGTTAGGGCAACACGGGACGTTCTGTGGGACTTACGGGTCAGGACTCTGTCCACTCGGAAGCGCAGCTCGCGGGGCTCAGCCTCCTTTAGACCGCCTTTAGGGCGGCCGCCAGGCCGCAACACCTCGTAGCTGAGAGGGAGGGTTGAAGGAGCAGTTGAGGGGCCCAGGGGGACTGGAGCAGGGAGGCTGTGAGAGGGCGGGTTGCAGCTGTTCCCTGCAGGGCGACTAAAGATGATCTTCACTGGCAGGCCGTCTGGGCCCGGAACTTGCAGGGTTTCCAGGTGTTTCGAACACTGCAAAAACCGGAAAATTTCTGATACTTCTGGGTGTTTCTCGGCCTATTGACCTACCTTGAGACAGCCGCAGTTGGCTCTGGCCGACGCGCAGAAAATCACCACCAGCACCAGCAGCTTCATGGTCGCACTGTGGCCTGTTTTTTGGTCACCCGGTAGCGCACGGTTATTTGCCGCCGGTTCCATCTAATCCCCCATATTTATGCACGGCAGATCGACTAAACGGTAGCGATTGTTTTGGTAAACAGTGTGGAAAATTCGCAACGCAATGCGTATTTTCATGTTTGAGGTTTCAGGGTGAAGGCCGGTGCTGGTTGGCGAACCCTTGCGATTTCCGTGTTTGGATTTGTTTGCATTGCAATGGTGGAACCGCCTGCCTGCTTGGGTTCCAGCGGTTCCTGGTTGGTCCATTCGCGCTTGTTTCATGCATTTCCAACTGTGAGACCAATGGCGGAGCCAG